GGAGAAGCAGCAGTTCCTCGCGGCTGCTGCGTTGCTCGCTGCTGTCATCGGACCCACGAAGCTTTGGAATGAGACTTCTTACGTTGAAGAAAACAGGATTTTCGAATCGGTGATAAATTGAAAAAAAAAATAATACCCAAAAGCTTCATTTTTCACATTTAAAATTCAAATTACCGTATTAAATTGTAAGCACTTGTTTCGAAGTTCACAATTTCCCCCAACTGTAACCAATTGTCCTCAATAATGATTAATTTGAGTTAACTTATTCAAAACCAAAATGCACACACACAGTACTTAAGAATTTCACAAGTGCGACCGGAAAATCCAATTTCATCGAAGTGAACAAAATCATGCGAAAGAATTTTTTTCGTCGCATTATTTCAATCTATGAAACAAAAATCTTAACACTGGTCATTTAACATTACTTCGTTAAATCCCAGAAGACCAACACTCGAAGTGAAAGACTTGACAAAATTCATAAACCAAACCTTCAAATACTGTACAGTTGGACCTCGGAAACTCGAACCTACCTACGTCAAATTTTTAAAATAAGTCCCTTTTTGAATTCAGAAGCAAAGCACAAATATAAAACCCTCCAAACTCGGAGGCTTTCCCCTCAAACATCCATAATTATAATTTTGTAGATGCCTTTTGACCATCATTTCATCAATACAGGATATATAAAAGCAATAAAAAGGAACTGAAGACTTTTTGGACAAATGAACCATTGCATCCAAAATGAGCATCCTGTAAACTAACATAAGAAGCAATTTAAGGCTCAAAATCTCAAAATATCAAAAATTACAATTTGCTGCTAATCTCCCCCCCCCCACCCCAATTGTTTGTTTCTCTAACTCGAAACCTCCATAATTCGAATATTTTGCTAGTCCCCTATAGTTTAACTTGACGATGTTCGATTGCAAATTTCAAACGAATTTTTCTGCATAAGTGCTTTCCATTCAAACGAAAACAACGAAACTTAATTTTCTTCTTCATTCAATTTTTCATCCATCGTCAAGTGCTACTTGGGCAGAGGCCTGGAATGCGACACTCGCGGCAGCTTCCATCAGACCATGACCATCAATGGAAAATGCATGACTTACAAGCCGGATCGCGTCACACTCGGCGGCATGTACCACGGACTGTACTTGCGGTTCAATTCGAGTACACACCACGCGAGCCACGCGGCGGCGCCGTTCGGATGGAGCGTGCTGCTCCACGGCGGCAACCAGCCGCCGCAGACGGCCGCCTTCACACATGGCTACTACGTCGAGGGGAAGCTCATGGAAAAGGATATCGCCGCCACGCTTCGAACCGTAAGTTTCCATTTGGAATTCTTTTGAGCAAAAATAAATTCTCATTTGAAACAAAGAAAACTTTACATACGACTTAGATCCAGGATCTAAGTTCTTCCAATGAATCATTATGGATCCATTTACGAAGGAATTTTCCTCGATTACATTGAATAAACGCTGCAACATCCATGAAACCATCATTACCAAAGAAAAAAAATTTAAGTGAGATAATAAAAATTGATCTGTTTTTTTGCGCTGCAGCGTTTAAGTTGAAGTACTGTAACTAACGCAAAATCACTGAAAGCATGGGTATTACAGTATTTCTGTGCACTTGAAAAGTTAACTTCAAGAATTCCACTTTTCGCACTGCAAGGAAAAAAGTCAAGGAAATACTTGAACTTAGTCACATATCCACAAACCTCAACAAATGTAACGCAAAAATCACATACGGTAATTTGCCAGTTGAATATTTTAAATTGCAGCAAATAAATCAGTTCACACGAACAAACGCTGTTGAATTATGCCAAGTATTATGCCAACAGAAAAATTGATGCAAAATAACTCGAACGCGCGGAAGTTGCATTAAATTATTCGTAATAAACCCATTTTCATTTCGTTCTTGAAACGATTACTGCTCGCATTAGAAATCAAGATGTTTTCCGTAATTCATTCAAGGATGGCAGGTTCAGTGCTAAAAAATTCAACTTAGATTATCAAAAAAATACTGATTTCTGGAAGCTGCTGTTCACAGGCAATTTCAAATCACTCTTAATTACGATTTTTAAAGTACTCATGTCGCAGTTAAATTCGAGTTAACAAGTGAACCCTGCGTCGTCATAGGTCTTTTCTGACATTTAAGCCTATACATTTTATGTCATAAAATTTAAAGTTACGCATACCTTATTTTATAAGACCAACCCGGGAAAACTTCGGGGTTTGATGAGATAAATGATTTAAGGAATGTACAGTTTGAATACCACACGAAATGGTCAGAATTCACGAACTGCGTTCACGCACATCGTGACAGACAGAGTCTTGGAACGCGGCGCACAGGAAGTTCATTTCCCGCCAACGGGCGCGGCAAAAGTCAAGGGCATTCAGGAAGTTTGTTCTACGCCATAAAATAGCCCTGTTTGAGCCTACAAATAACGCTTTGGCGCTAAAAAAAAATTTCAAGGACGTTTAATTCGCCATTAAACCGAATTATTGTCGGTCTAAGCGTTCGTATTTATAAAACGTTAAGTGTTCAAGAGTTCTACCCTGGTCTAAAAAACGTCATAACATGTCATGACATGACATGAACCTTAAAAGCATGCTGAGATAAGCTTTACCCTTTAGAATTTTCTTCACGTGGAAAATTATTTCTGCAACATCATTAAGTCCTTCAATATTCGTTCCAAAGAACCAGTTTCAAATTTAATGTAACCCAATTAAGTTATTTTAAGCAAAAAAAGTCAAACCATTCCTACAGCCAGATTCGCAAGCATAAATATTTTGCAATTCACAAGTTCTCAAGATGGGACCAGATTTTTTGCAGTATTGTACAGTACTGTACTGTACTTGGAATTTTCGTACGACTCTATTCGAAATGGGAAAAGCTCCCAAACCCGGGATTCGAGGGTTCCCAACACCTAAAAAACAATGCACAAAAGAAGTGCACCTTTTAATAAAGACGTTGTAGTAATTCAGGAAGTTATAAGCAAGGTTTCTTGGTCAAAGTTTAAATTACATTGGGTTAATTCAATAAAATTCGTTTTTTTCAGTTTGGTAAGGACGATCCAGTGAAACAATTGATCATATGCTGTTTTTTGCGCCTCATTTTGTCTGATTTTTTCCAATTCCCGTCACGGACTAGACGAATTCCGAATTTCCGCGTGTGGGAAGCACTCAATCAAAAACGAATTTACCCCACGAAGTATCACTATGAACCTTGAAGCAAAAAGAGTCTTGCAACGACATCTCCGGATGAATTTACAAATTCTTCAAAAGGTCGAAATCACGAAACACCACGTTTCAAAACGCCCACCGAACTTCCTCTTTCGGATACACAGGAAGTTTTCTCGTTGAACCGCCATCCTCAAACGCGGGTCCCTCACGACCGATATACACACACACACTTCACGAAACTTGACGCGGCGTCTGATTACAGATACTGTCGTTTCATTTTTATCTCTTTTCCCCACCAGAACTGTATTGTGACGATAAGAGAAGGTTCGAAAAAAAAACCGGAACTTGTCACACATTTCCGGTGCTGAAAAACAATCCTTTCATTATTCGGACGCGAAACATTCACGGTTGTTCCCGAGCTGTCACAGCCTGCGCAAACAGCCCACAGATAAGATAGTTATGCAGTACAACTAAATTGGAAACAATTCTGAAGATACTTTCGTACACGACAGTGAAGTCAATCCTAAAAAACTTCCAGGAATTTCGTCACACTGTACA